GACCAGAAAAAGGCCAAAACCCTGTCTACTAAAAATCACCTCAAAACTAAAAGAAAAAAATAACAATAATAAAAAAGATGAGGAGACAGATAAGAAAAAGAGAAGTACAGGAGGAAGAAAAACAAATCACATGTATGTTTGCGCTTTAATTTTTTTGAAGAAAAAACGTTTCAAAACTTCAGCTGGATCAGCGTGTGTTTATAACTCGTATATTTTCAATTTTTTTCAAATTGAATACCTCCGTAAAAAGCCTGGGAAAATATTCAAGGAAGTGAAAAATTGTGTTGCACGTTTACCCATTAGATAAGTGAACAAGATTTGTTTTATTACAGTGTAACGGGGCTTATTTCATTTGAATGAGGTAAAATTATTGAAGGATTATTTATTCCTACAGTTAAAAGGCCATGCAGATATGTTAACGGCCTTTTGTTGTTTATTTGTACTTTGATGCATATATTTTCCAGCATATCATGCTTATAATATAATATCCAAACAATAAAATGGATTTGTTAATCTAAATTATCTTTTTAGTTTGAAGTAACGACACTTCTCTTCCAGCAAACGGTTTTTCAGGAATAAAGAAATGAATTTGTTTAGATAGGAAAAACAAATTTTGTTTTTCAAGGCATCCTTTAAGGTAAATCATAAATACATCCGACCTTTACCGAAAGAATTCTGAAGGCAAGAAATCTATATCACTGTCGGACCACCCAACAAGAAAATGAAATTAAAACATTATAATAAGTTTTTGTAATTTTGGTGAGACATTGCAGTGGGTTGTAAACAGCGTTTCTGGATCTTTTCATGTCAAAAGGAATGTTTCATTTGCAGAATTGACGAAATGTAAAAATCAGCGGATTGTTTCCTTGGAAACACATGCTTCCTCGAACCCTTTGAGCGCTTTTACTTCGACCTTATCTGCCATTTTACACTCGAAAAGGGAAATAGCCTGAATGCCAACAAAAGTCAAAAGGAAAATATCCTTTTTTAAAACAAGCTAGGGACTTCGATTCAATGCTAATGTAAAATCCTACTGTACTGACATCTGGTAATTTTTTGTTTTGTAAAATGTTGTTGAGTATCGAGATCTGTATAATTCAGGCAATTGAGCGTGGAGAGTATTATAGTACTGAATTTGTCGAGTTTTGCTGAACTTTTCATTGGCTGAAAATCACGTGCTTCTTTCATAACCAATCAGGAATGAAGATCAATGAAACAAAAACCAATCGTTACTGTTGCTCGCAGGTGTTTTCCCGCGCACGCACTGCTGTCGCGACATCTACTTGAATTCCGATTGGTTCATCGGATTATCTGCCTCTTCTGTGATTGGCCAAGGTTAACACATGGACTTTGCCTTTCCTTTACTAAATGAAACTGAGAAATGCTTCATGGAATTTTGATGGTGATAAAATAAGACCAAATGTGCTTTCGATTGACCGTATTCTTCAATTCACCATTTTCAAATAGACCGCAATGTACATTGTTTACCCCCTTTCCTCTCTCCCCCCCGCCTCCCCCCTCACTCCCCAAATTTTGCATACCTATTGTTTCCAATTTCTCAGTTTTGTTGTTGTTGTAAAAGCAACCGTGAAACAAGGAAAGTTATCTCATTATTCCGTTTTATTCCAGCCGTTTCGCTCACCAGAGCAGAATTTTTCGAATGTATTCCACTTATTCCGGAAAAGGAATAGCAGGTCTATCGAACGGATTTCTCGAATTTTTCTATGTATTCCTCCGGAATAAGCTAGGCTGATCAAAGATCAGACCAGTGTACAGTCCAATGAAACAAAATTTTAATCTTGGATACAGAAATTAATCAGGTTTTAGTTTTGAATTGACAGGTAAAAGAAAAGAGAAGAAAGATACGAAAGATTCAAGTTCCCTTACTTTTCCGCTGGGTTAAAAAATCAAGTCCGAAAGCATCGCTGTTGCGGGCGGTTTTTCATTCTCATTCAGCGAAAAATTAAGTCCAATTTGGACAAGAAAATAATTATCTTGGTTACTGTAATACAAATATTCAAGAATTGAACGGAATAACGCCACCCACGCCGATCTTTTTCACACCCAAAAGCTTGAAAATTTGAGTAATAATGGATTACGAGGAATTACTTTGGGAGACGAGACGACAATATTAAGTTAAACCGCAAGAGATAAGGGTGACCAGAACTTTGTTATTGCCATAAAAATTAACCGAACAAGTCAGAACGGCATTTGAAAAGCTTGTCACTGTTGATTCTTATTTTGAGTTTGGACTTAATTGGAATTACTTATAACTTCTGGATAAGCAGTAATTAAATTTTCTTTAAAATGCAAATAAACTATTCTTAACAGCCATTCGCCGACTGCTTCGCTCACAAGTAACATTTCCTGTTATTTAAGAAGAGTTATTACTGATATTTACAATAGAACATGAGAGGGTAAAAGCAACTCTATAAAATAGTTTTCCAAGGAGATAATTATCATTTTTTAGCAATGAAGTAGATGACAAGTCAAGCAGACTCCCAAAATGTCGTCGGACGCAGCAATGGCCTTCGAAATTGTTACACCGTTTATAATTGTTGCTGGAATGGCTGGAAATGTCATCGTTTGCTCCTTAATTATCAGGAACAAAAAGATGAGGACTTCTTTCAACTTTCTTCTTCTAAATTTAGCTGCGTCAGACCTGCTGTGCTCGATATTAGGAGCTCTTTACTACGCTAGTGAGATACGAAACCATTATTTCAGCGACGGGAAGTCAAATCGAGGCGAGATTGAAGGAGTTGCGTGCAAAGTTGTTACCATAAGTATTGGTTTAACTACAAACAGTTCTGTTTTCACCTTAGCTGCTATTTCAACAGACAGATTTTTTGCCATCGTTCACCCATGGAAACATAAACTAGCAATGATCAAACGAAAAACCCGCATTGTAATAGCGGGAATTTGGCTCTTGGTGCTCGTCACTAGTTTACCCCTGGCTGTTGTCATGATAAAGCAGCCAAACAAAGTTCCAAATTCACATTTTGTGGGGAACTGTATAGCACACCTCGTTAACGAAAACAGCTACAAGGCTGCCGCCTTTGTTGATCTTATAGCATGCTATATTATCCCGATGGCAATTATTTTGCGTACTTCGTTTGCTATCATTAAACATTTGTGGTGTGAAAGCTCTTGTCGCGGCTTTGCCCCCGATCAACTGGAGACTAACAGAGCGCTCTTAAAATCTCGCAAACGAATCACAAGGATCGTACTCAGCGTTATAATGGCTTTCAACATTTTCTGGTTGCCGTGGGCAATTTTAGAGGGTTCGTTTTTGATCGGTGCTATTCACCATATCGATGAGAAAACGTTTGTTGTTGTATTCACCCTAGTTTTATCTAGCGCCAGTGTGAATCCAATTTTGTATTCACTTCAAAGTCCGCAATTTAGACGTGCTGTCAAGAAAATGTTTGGTTTCTGATTCGATGGCGCAACGAGATAAATTGACGCCAATATCAGATTGCCCAGATTTGAAATATGACTGTGCAAAAAACGTATTGACTTTTACCCTGATTTTCCAATGAAATACACGACCAGTATAGTGTTTAGTATTGATTTTGTCTATGTTATATTCAAATTCAGCTTCAATATTATTCAAGCGGAAAAATAGTGAAGGGTTGTCAGGCGTTACCTTCTTGCGATCCTCTTCGTATGGTTGTAAAGCGGTGACAATTTAAACGAAAGCTATTAATCAAGTCTTCGTCATGATGTTCTACTGTGATGTTCAATATCCTGTAAACGTCAAATTTAACGGTAAATTTTATGATGAAAAGAATCACGATGTGTCATCCGAAGCGTCACTCGAGTCCGTATAATCACAACAGACCAAAGATCTACCAGACGAAGTATGATTGCTTGTTAAATTATCATTAGTTGACTGGGAAAAACCATTTTGTTCCGTGGTCTTGAGATTTCTCACAGCAGGTAAACTCAAAGAGATATTTTTCAACTCTGCGTGTCGTTTCGTAAGACATTGCGCCTCTGTGAATTCACCTTTCTCCGTTGGAAACGACACCGCAAACTGTGACGTAACTTCCGGTGAAGGTTGCGCGCGAGTGCCTATTTGAGCAGGTGTATCAGGAACGGAAGAGGCCAGTGCTCTATTCAAAGTACAATCAGTCCTTTTCTCATCAACTACTGTGTCCTCTACTGTAGAGGCCTGATTTGAAGGATCGTTAACTGTACCAACCCCACGGTCCCCAAAAGAAGTGTCCTTATCTAAGCACTCTTCTGAGTCCTCACTGTTTGTGAACACGTTTCTTCGCACCTTGATACCCAGTTTTACCAGATCACTGTTGACTTTAGAGGGATTAGAAAACGAGTTGAACGCCATTTGTTTCCTTTTTCCTAACAGATGATTTATTTTCTCCCTTTTCTCGTCTGATTTTCCAAACATTGGTCGGCTGTTGACTTCAAACCGTCTTTTACGACGGTGCTCATCAAATCCTGCAAAAACAGAACCAAAGCAATTAAAAGCTTAACAGTACTGTTATCAATGTGCTTAAGACCATGAACATTTTTATCCTGGAAGTTCACAGTTTTTTTCTTGTCCCTGTTCTATCAGCTGAGCAGCCAAAGAGGCGAATGTTAACAATTTGAGGGGCGCTCAGCGTACGCTTCGTTAAAAATTATCATGTCAGCCCCCAGTAAGCCAAAACACAAAGACTGGTTACATCAAGCGGTTAGCTCAGTGAGGAGAGCACCGGTCTACTCAGCGAGAGGTTTCTGATCAGGGGTTACTGGTCATTTCGCCCCCAAGTTATTTCGCCCTGGTCACTTAGCACCCAACTTTCGAGTCATTTAGCTCCCAAAAACAAAGTCATACCCCCATACACGAGTCACTTAGCCACTCCGAAAAACTCGAAAATAGGGGGCTAAGTAACAAAGGCGAAATGACTTGGGGCCGAAATGACCGGTTACCGTTATTGAGCAAGGGTATTCGGTCGAGATGGCTGGATATTGGCCAAGTTTGTTTTCATAATGCCGATTGCGTTTATATTGACCATGAACGAACAAGCTTGGTCAATATATGATTTATATGGCCAGCCAAAAGGAGAACGTTTTCGCGCGGGACCAGCGCGGGAAATCCCGAGTGAGCACGATGGGCCCATCTCGCTCGCTCGGGTAGCCAATCAGAACGCAGAATTCGAGTCATCTTGCCCACTCGCGGATTCAGCCAGTGGGTCTTAAAACAGCAACAGCGGGAAGTTGATGCTTGTAAAGTTAATTCTCCATAACATTGCTCCAAATCTTTTTAAGAGTTATTTTATTAGGTCTTCACATGTTTATTCCACTAGGTGTAATGGTTTAGATATTTTAAGTCCGTACAGAATCTGCCAAGAAAGGAACAACTGGAGCCCAGACTTTAAATAACTTGCCACCCCGTCTGAAGGAAGTTGACTTCTTAGTGATTTTTAAAACACTTCTTTATGATATTATTTTTTAGAGTTCTTGTAAATATTTTAGAGCTTTTTAGAGTGTTAATTTACGTAGCTTTATAATTCTTAGTTTTCATCCATCGTCATTGTACTTAGTTTTTACATTTCTCTGATAGTTGTTCTGTTACAGTTATTTTTTCCTTTAATTGTTAATTTTTTAGTTGCCCAGGGCACCCATTGATAACACCTTCAGCTGACGGGTTTACCGTAGTTAAATATGTTATTATTATTATTNGTTGACTTTAGAGGGATTAGAAAACGAGTTGAACGCCATTTGTTTCCTTTTTCCTAACAGATGATTTATTTTCTCCCTTTTCTCGTCTGATTTTCCAAACATTGGTCGGCTGTTGACTTCAAACCGTCTTTTACGACGGTGCTCATCAAATCCTGCAAAAACAGAACCAAAGCAATTAAAAGCTTAACAGTACTGTTATCAATGTGCTTAAGACCATGAACATTTTTATCCTGGAAGTTCACAGTTTTTTTCTTGTCCCTGTTCTATCAGCTGAGCAGCCAAAGAGGCGAATGTTAACAATTTGAGGGGCGCTCAGCGTACGCTTCGTTAAAAATTATCATGTCAGCCCCCAGTAAGCCAAAACACAAAGACTGGTTACATCAAGCGGTTAGCTCAGTGAGGAGAGCACCGGTCTACTCAGCGAGAGGTTTCTGATCAGGGGTTACTGGTCATTTCGCCCCCAAGTTATTTCGCCCTGGTCACTTAGCACCCAACTTTCGAGTCATTTAGCTCCCAAAAACAAAGTCATACCCCCATACACGAGTCACTTAGCCACTCCGAAAAACTCGAAAATAGGGGGCTAAGTAACAAAGGCGAAATGACTTGGGGCCGAAATGACCGGTTACCGTTATTGAGCAAGGGTATTCGGTCGAGATGGCTGGATATTGGCCAAGTTTGTTTTCATAATGCCGATTGCGTTTATATTGACCATGAACGAACAAGCTTGGTCAATATATGATTTATATGGCCAGCCAAAAGGAGAACGTTTTCGCGCGGGACCAGCGCGGGAAATCCCGAGTGAGCACGATGGGCCCATCTCGCTCGCTCGGGTAGCCAATCAGAACGCAGAATTCGAGTCATCTTGCCCACTCGCGGATTCAGCCAGTGGGTCTTAAAACAGCAACAGCGGGAAGTTGATGCTTGTAAAGTTAATTCTCCATAACATTGCTCCAAATCTTTTTAAGAGTTATTTTATTAGGTCTTCACATGTTTATTCCACTAGGTGTAATGGTTTAGATATTTTAAGTCCGTACAGAATCTGCCAAGAAAGGAACAACTGGAGCCCAGACTTTAAATAACTTGCCACCCCGTCTGAAGGAAGTTGACTTCTTAGTGATTTTTAAAACACTTCTTTATGATATTATTTTTTAGAGTTCTTGTAAATATTTTAGAGCTTTTTAGAGTGTTAATTTACGTAGCTTTATAATTCTTAGTTTTCATCCATCGTCATTGTACTTAGTTTTTACATTTCTCTGATAGTTGTTCTGTTACAGTTATTTTTTCCTTTAATTGTTAATTTTTTAGTTGCCCAGGGCACCCATTGATAACACCTTCAGCTGACGGGTTTACCGTAGTTAAATATGTTATTATTATTATTATTATTATTATTATTATTATTATTATTATTATTATTATTATTATTATTATTATTATTATTATTATTATTATTTATTACCTTCTCCATGATATCTTATTTTCTTTGCCAGTTCAATATCCTCCAGTCTCTCTGGCACAAGAGCCACATCTAATGCTGCTCTTTGCTTCAGCTCACTGTCCTTCATCTCCTGAGCTTTCACTTCGTGTTTAGTCTCTCGGAATTTCTTCCTGAGCAACTGATTAGCAGCATAATCATCCTTCCACACTGACTGAACTTCCTAAAGTGTTTTCCAAGTTAATAATTATTTTTCTTGTTATTCTGAGCAAGAACTTTTTTGAGATCCAATTCTTAGGAGGGAGGCACACGAGTAATAGGTCAGTGGCGGATCCAGAGGAGAGGCCTGGGGGGCCCCCTTATTTTTAGACCAAACTGAGCCCTGAACGGCCAAAAAAAAATTTTAACACTGCCCCCACCCCCTTTATCTCAGGGTCTGGATGACCGCATCCCCGCCCCTTATCTGAAGGTCTGAATCTGCCACTGTAGATAGAGTCAAACCTGCTCCCCCACTTTATGGATACCCACTTAATAGGACACCACGATCAGTACGGATGCCTTCTATAACCCCTTCACTGACCTTATCAACAGGATTTGACTATATCAGGTTTGGTGATTTTTCACTAACAATGAGTTTTCGTGCAACTTGTTAAAAAGAAC